CCGAACCGAAAGCACTGTATCGAACGGTTCGATATCGATACGAGTATCGTTGCACCCCTAATAAATATATATATATATGTAGGGATTTTGTTCTACATCTTCTACATCGATATGATAGCATCACACTGTTGATGCAGATTTGTCAGCTGCACATAAATATTGCACACCCATCCACAACACATCCCAAAAGTGCAGTATTGGATTGAGATCTGATGACTGGAGAGGCTGTTTGAGTACAGAGAACACGTTGTCATGTCCAGGAAACTAGCTTGAGATGATCTGAGCTGCTGGAAGCAGCCACCATAAGATGCGTACATAAAGAAACGTATATTATCCCCCCACACCACTGCACCATCAGCAGCAGCCAGAACCACTGATGCAAGGATAGATCCATGCTTTCATGTTGTTTACTCCAAATTCTGACTCGGTGAATGTAGAAGCAGAAATCAAAATTCATCAGACAAGTATTTCCAGTATTTTATTTTCCAATTTTGTTGATCTGGTGTGAGTTGTAGTCTCAGCTTCCTGTTCTTAGCTGACAGGAGTAGCACCTATGCTGTAGCCTGCTTCAGAGTTTGATGTGTCGGGGGTTCAGAGATGCTATTCTGCAAGCGTTGGTTGATTGAGTTATTGTTGCTTTCCAATTAGCACAAAGCAGTCTGGCCATTGTCCTCTGACCTCTGCCATAAACAAAGCATTGTCATCCAGTGAAATGCCGCTCACTGGGTATTTTCTCTTTTTTTGGACCATTCTCTGTGAACCGTAGACACGGTTGTGCGGGTAAAACTGAGTGGATCAGCAGTTTCTGAAATGCATAGACCAACCTGTCTGTCATCAGCAAGCATGTCATGTTCAAAATCACTTAAAATTACCTTTACAGTATTCCACCTTCTGATGCTCAGTTTGAACCTCAGCATGTGATCTTTACCATGTCTACATTTGATTGCCTAATTGGATTAGTTCACAAGCAGCTAAAGAGGTGCTCTGGTAATGAAGCTACCAGTGAGTGTATAGTGCTGTAATATAGTCAGATTACTGTGTAAATATAAGTGAGGACAGCACCATTATGCCACTTTAAGAAAATTGGTGTTGTTGAAATAAAAGTTGATAAGATTATAATTGGTTAGGGAAGGAGAGCTTGTGTGTGACATTGTTGATACAGAACAAGCTCAAGAGTGTATTTTCCCCTTTTTTTCCCATTTGCATGTCTCATTCTCTCATTCTCCCAGTGGCCCACTAGCATTTTTCTGTCTTTATTTTTAGCTTCATCCCAGAGTATGATAGCTGGTGCAATGTGACAGAAGTGCCCAAGACCCCAAAAAGCCCAAACCTTTGTTTTTGTAACATAGTGTTATTCTTCAGAGATCTATTCAGAAATCTCTTTATTTGTTATTTATTGAGAAACATTTTTGCAGCTATTTCTTGGGTCCAATCTTATATGTGCAAGCAGATTGTGATGTTGACTAGAATTAAGCTGGACTAAAAATACCTTGCGATTATTTCTGTTTTTGTTTTTTCTGGCTTTTTTTATTCCTAATTGCAATGGGTGTCTTATTTATTTTGTCACTTCTTATTTTCTCTGTGTCTTGTGTGTGTGTGTCTGAAGCATATTACTGAAGCAAACTAACCTGGGCACTGTCTTATCTTCACAGGGCATCAATATTGTGGGGCCCAGTAATGTAGAGCCCCCGCCTCAGCCTCCTCCTCCAGCCATGTACCAGCTGGATATTGTCCTAAAGAAAGGGAAAGGCCTGGCCATCCGAGATCGAACAGGTAGGAGAAATTCCTCGGGAATATTCAGGTTTATGTAGAGTTACAGTGGGAAATGCTTTATCTGGTTTCTGTTTGCCCCATCAATTAAAAGTTACCCTGTGCAGCGATTAGCACAGACAGTATAGCATCTAGAACGCCTCGTTTGAAATCCTACTGTTTCAGGCTAAAAGAAAATCTGTGACTTTCTGGATTCTTTTATTCAAAAAGGTCAAAACCAAAATGAATGATGTTACAATTATTGCCGGTGTGTCTAAAAGTATTTAGACACACATTAGAGTAAACTTAGATACTCCCAGTAGCAGATACAATGTTAGACAACCAAATAAGATAAGTAGTCCTGGATGAAAGTGAAGCAACTGTACTATGTGACTGCTTTTATTAGTCCATGGAGGTGCTTGTACATGAACAATAGTGTCCATATATTTTCTGATAAAGAAACATGTACACCACTATAAAACTGTTATTTATGTGTTCAGGACTTCAGTAGCTCTATGTTAGAGAGAAACATGCTGAATCAGGCTTTGGCCCAAGAAACAGCCTCAGTGGTATGGTGAGGTTTTAAGTAAATGAATAAATTGTTGGCTTTAGTACTTTAATAGGAGTAAGAAAAATATGGAAAATCATCTGAATTACTTTGTTTTCTTTAGGCTTATTGGCTATTTTACACACTCAAATCAATTCTTTTTTTTATCTCCCTTTTATTTACTCACTGATCTCCATGTATTCTTTTTTAAATCACACATCACAATCCATTTTCCATATGTGATGTCAGATTGATTTAGTAGAAACGATTTGGCGCATTCCTCATGCATGTGAGCATGAAAAAAATTCAGCTCTGGGTTAAACTAGGCCATTGTCACATTTGGAGCCTAGACGAGTGATTCTAATGTGATTCTTCTGGTTTCTTTTGTGTAATAAGATAAAATCGTACCATAAGCGCTTCCCTTGGCTACTGAGTGTGAGCAAGACCTGCAGTGTAAAGACTACACACTGCTGTATTGTAAGCAATGACTATAAAGAATGTAAACTAGAAACCCTAAGTAAGAATTGATTTAGTTTTACACCAGAGTAAAAGATACTAACTCATCTTAAACGACTCAGATAAACAAACATTTGCCTGCTTCTCTGGAGCTGGAGTATGTGATTTAATGTAAGGTGGATATGCTCAACTTTAACACATCATAAACTCTCACAGACTCTCACAGTGGATTGCATGGTGAAGGATGCTGAAGTCTCATTAGTGGCTGTAGCAGTCACCATGACAACAGATCAGAATGAGCTGTCTTTGTCTCTCCTATGCATTTTGCCTGACTACCTGTCCACCCAGATAATGAGCACTGAGGTGCTGAGCTCACCTGTCCTGTTTTAGCCCATCAAGACAGCTCATTAGAGACACAGAGAGAGACAGGTAGAGAAAGAAAGAGAGAGAAAGGAATATAACATAGGAGTGGAATGAATGGAATATTAGCAAAACACAACAATAAGTGCTGTTTTGTCTCACAGTGCTTAGCCAGGGCGTCTTCCTCCTAATATTTACAGTGGCACATCTTAACTCTTGGCCTGTATTACCGGGATGTTTACTTTCCCCCCCTTTAAAAAAGCAGGAAATAGGTAAACTGAAGAATACAGAAAATGATTTTCCATTTGCACATCTCTCTAGGTTCCCTTCTCATTCATGTGTCCTGAAGTAGAGCAGGATTATCAAATAAAGGGAGTTTACTGCCAGAAGCAATTTAATTCTGCTACTTATTGATTCACTAAAAGCTCTGGCATGAATTATAAATGTTACAAATAGTCTGCAGTTTGTCAGCAAAAAAACACAACAAAAACCAAAAGAAATTTGTTTTAAAAACTTTTAATTGTGCATAGCAGAACTGAAAGTGAAAACAATAAAATTAAAATAATAATATTAATAATAATAATAATATTAAAATAAAATTAGACTACAAGTCTGAAGTATTTTGGAGTGCTAGACTTTGTTAATTTAAGATGCAGATTGTTAACAATGCAGAGCTTCACACGACCATAACAGGAGGATACTGGTAAAAGAAAAGGTGAAATGTTTTGTTTGTCACCTTAGTGCTGATCCATGCATCAAAGTGATGGATGCACTCAGACAAGGTTGACTCGGAAGACAGAAAAGAGAGTGAGGACAGGGGTTCAGTGCCGTGTCCTCCTTTATCCCCTTTGCGCTTTAAAGAAACCGGCTCGATAGATTTATAAAGATGTGCTGCCTTAACAAAATTTCCCTCCTTTGAGGAAATGAAAGCAAGGAAAATACAAACAATATACACTGGTTTGAAAAACTGTTTGCCCCCCCTTCTGATTTCCTAGTGTTTTGCATATTTGTCACACTTACATGTTTCAGATCCTCACACTAGTGTTAATGTTAGACAAAGATAGCCAGAGTAAATACAAAATGCAGTTTTTAAATGATGATTCTATTATTAAGAGAGAAAAGTCATCCAAACCTATTTGGTCCTGTGCCCCTCTTGTTAAATCGTGAATTAACTGTCACTAGGTTCAGTTTCACTAAACACACTCAGGCCTGATTACCAGCTGATCTGTTAGAACCTGTCTGACAAACTGAAGCTAAAAGATCTCAAAAATCACCACATCATTGGAACGATCTAAAGAAACACCTGAGAAACAAAGACACTGACATCTATCAGTCTGGAAAGGGTTACAAAGCAATATCTAAGGCTTTGGGGCTCCAGTGAACCACAGTGAGAGCCATTATACACAAATGGATCAAACTTGGAACAGTGATGAAGCTTCCCAGGAATGACCGGTTGACCAAAATTACTCCAAGAACACATCGACAACTTATCCAGGAGGTCAAAAAAGAACCCAGAACAACATTAAGCTTCACATGTCTCACTTAAAGTCAGAGTTCATGATTCAACAATAAGAAAGAGACTGGGCAAAAATGGCAGCCATGAATTCCAAGATGAAAACCACTGCTGACAAAAAAGAACATAAAGGCTCTTCTCACATTTACCAAAAAACATTTGATTATCCCAAACCTTTTGTAAGGTTTGAGTCCCGTTACATCTGGCATAAAATTAAAACAGCATTTCACATAACACATCCTACTAACAGTAAAATATGATGGTGGTAGTGTGATGGTCTGAGGCTGTTTTGCTGCCTCAGGATCAGGAAGACTTGCTGTGGTAAATTGAACCATGAATTCTGTTATCTACCAAAACATCCTGAAGGAGAATGTCCACCACCTGTTCATTCCCTGTGGTGGGCTTTTTTCAGAGCTGCCATTTTGACACAAAATAGTCAGATGGAAAGCAGGTAAACAGATTTGGTATTAGTTACATTAATCATCCCTCTGCACCAGAAATGAACAGAACCTTCATTCAATTTGTTAATAACACATGCGCTTGTCTACTAAGTTGGTTATTCAATTTTTACTCTTGTTAAAATGGCGATCATGAAATAGGTCTATGCATGTTTGTATAGTTTGCAAAACTTTCAATTGACTTTCAATTCAAATTTTA